CAATGGCTGGCGTGTGACGTCTGGTGTTGGGACTACGGTCACAATCTTCTTTAATTGCTGCCCGTGCTGCGAGTCCGCCCCCACGGGTAGCGTCGCGTCTGTGACTGTAGACTGCGTTCCTGTCACGGCGCTGGGTTGAGCGTTTGGTGCGGCGTTTTGCACCACATCGGCACCTCCAGTTTCAGTGCGAGGTCGTTGCTCTGTAGCGGCCTCTTTCTCTTCAGCTTCGGCGGCTTGTCTTTGTTTGACGTCGTGCTCTCGTTTGAGCGCTGCTTCTCGCTGGATAGCAGCAAGTCTCTGCTCCTTCAGCAGCTTCTTTTGCATGCGTATCACGGTCATGGCTTCCTCCAGTCGGTCTATCAGCATGTCAGCCATATCGCTGTCTGATATCGGCGAGGATCGTGATGACGGTGTCGTTCGCGATGCATGCTCAGGTGTAAACAAGCCTTGGTAGCTCTCTGGCGTACCCATTCGCCTTGGCATTGCCCGTTGTTCAGGTGACCCAGGCGGAGTGTGCGGCTGATTGCGCAGCTCACTATCCACTTGACCCAGTGCGCGGCAATGTGCTCGTTCGGCACGAGCTATCGGTGGCATCGCCTGGGGACTATCGAGATCGTCGAAGTTGAGACGTCCTTGGACCGGTCTGTCCTCAGACATCGTGACGGTCTTCTACTGGCAGATTACGGTACTTGGGCTCAGAACCTGTTGCACTTTGTAGATTTGCTGAGGAATTTGCTGGCAAGAGAAGACCGACTTGATAACTAGAAGAGAAAATTGAAAGTGAATTGATAATTAGCTTGATCACAACTGCTAGTCCAGCCCCTCACGTCCTGTACTAACCTCAACCGTCTTGTGAGCGTTGCTTCACACGCAATGCTGGTGTTTCCCGATGGCACCAGCATATCTCAGTATGCACCTCACTGTGACCACCTGATTTAACTGGGGCAATCCTTAGGTCCACCACAAGAAGACTATCCTCCCGCTTGTTTGTCGTCTTCCACGCGAGCAGGTGGCACACGTTTTGCCATTTTCAACAGAAACCACTTGGCCGAGAATTGCCTGTTATGTTGTAAAGATAAACAATAGCCGATCGCACAATGCCAAAGGTAGACTTCCCAGTCACACCACGTTGTTCCATCGAAGTGAGGTAGCGCATGCACTCTTGCGTTGTTAGCGTACTTAAGTCTATTGGACTCACTACAGGAGACCTGGCAAACCACTCCGCAATTGTGTCTGCATTTATCGTCTCGATGTCACAAACGAGATCGCGAAAAGTGACTGGCGGCGGTCCTCATCTGATGTCTCGTAAAGCCACTTGATAAAACGAGTAAGAGCTCGGAGATACACGTACTTTGTCGCACCAGCAGTAGTATTTCCAAGGACCTCCTCCACACGAGCATCAAGAACTTCCATCGCTACGACTTGTGATCCTTAAAATTAAAATCAGAATATACTACCAAACAGCATAATATATTCGACGTGCAAGTTGCACGACGAATTCCATTTATCTATACATATAACAAGCCAATAAATAGAGAACGGGGATGTATCTGATTAATAATCAAGTATTACAATGTCGTTACAAGGTCTCTGGATATAGTATCCAGAGATTTTTTCTCCTCTCGGTTACGTACGTGATTTATGCGACTAAACTCGACGCACAGTCGTTGTGTTAGCTCCACCTGATAAATCGGTGGTGCTTGATAGGGCTGACCGACCAATCGAACGTACTGTGCGGTCGAGTCGCCATACTTGAGCTGCCCAATGACGACGGGTCCACGTAGTAGACTTTTGCAAAGTAAGCGCTAACCTGTCGTTATCACCGGTCATCATAGTACAATTTCTAGTATTGAGATATGGTTGGAGGCAGGCTCAATGGAGTAGCTCCCAACTGATCCACCGCAGTTACTCTGCTCCAGCACGGCCACTGTTTCATTTCCACTCGCCGTCGCATTTATTGCCCACGCTGTGCCGTCATCGTCATGCCAAGCGTAGCATTTTCCGTCTGCAGTTAAGGGGCGAACAATATATAATTGACGTCACTACTCTTTGGTCATCGCGTACGGAGAGTTACGGAACGCGAATTCTAGGTATTCGGCCATGCCATCAACGCAGAAGTGGGAAACGCTTGTCGACTGGTGGTTTTTGCAGCCTGAGGCAAGCACCTGTATTAATGTTTGCAATTATGCTTTTAGTGTATATTGCGTCATCGTACGTAGTAAGCGTCCACACCGCTCATGCTAGAGACCGAATCCATTCGAAAATGAAAGTACGGCAACGACATCGAGAAAACCGCATTTTAGTAAGTTGCGTGATCATCATCTTGGACATCGTACGTGCATATATGGCAATGTAAAGATGAGTTGATGGACTCGTATCTGGACAACGGAAATTTTCAAACTGGCGAGGACAGCGTACGTGTCGAAACCCTTGATTGTCGACCAGTAGGTGTGTGAATTATTTCAGTCGATGTTACCAGGGTAATTGAAATCGACTACATATTCCAGTGATCCCACATCTAAATAAAGGCGACAAGAAGGTAAAAGCAAGATCGGGGCCTGTTTCCGCCCGTCCAGATTCCAGCTGATTGAGGCCATTTCAGCTGATATTTTTGATCCAGCTGATCGCTACATAATCCGCGCGTTCCGCATACCAAATTCCAGAAGAATTTGAGATCGAATAAGCTATCATCTAAGCGCCCGAATTTGGGCGGATGGAATGGTAGTCCACCTGATTGAAGGGAGTGTGCCTGTAAGAACAAATATTAACGGGTGACATAAAATTAGATAATAAAAAAACATTCTCTTATATTAATCCGATTTACCAGAACTGTGCATTAGTCGGTCTAGGAGGTAGTACTTTTGCGTGAGCCCCTACACTACCACCTCCCCCAGTGCTCTTACAATAAAATAAAAAATTGTACTGGGCATCACAGAAGCACGTAATAATCATTGCAATATACCAATCCACAATAATAAATTATTCAATTATTTTGCTGTATTGCAAGGGTCAGGACGGGGCAGTGGTGTGAGATTGACCCTATCACGCTACTGGCTTGGGTTCGAAGCCCACTGCTGCAGAGAAGGCTGGTGACTATCATCCAAGCTGGGTTCTTTTAGCCAGTCAAATATAGCCGGCGACGGCAAGATACGAGCCAGCCTGAGCAGCAGTTTTGTTGGGTTCTGAAAGAAAACATAAAATTAAATTTGGACGAACACACAATAAGGAGTCTAAACCTTTTTTTCGGCAGCGTTGTAGCTCTCAAGTTTCTCGTGCGCAAACTACTTTCTAAACATCATCAATGCCAACAAGCGAGGTGAAGCTCCAAAGGTCGCGATTCGCTCGTAGAAACACGAGCATCTCAAAGTTCGCTGGCAGCAGACTTGACCGCCGTGGGGTGAGAATTAGCTTGCACTGTGAAAAGAGGCGCTCACATCGGTTGCTAGTTGGCGGCAGTTGGCTCAACATCTCGTCGTACTTCTGTGCTGACGCGTGGCGAGCCTTCTTGGCTTGCCGGAGTGTGGCTGTAGCGAAGTCCACCTGCTTGGTCGGCCGGGCTGAAGAAGGTTGGACGACCAGAAAGGGCTCGACAGCAGCTTCTTCGTCTGCTTGAAGCCTGCGATCACCCTGAACTTTCACGACGGCCCTCTCAAAAACAGGAGAGTGCACAATACTGGCATCAGCCTTGAGGTAACTTGCCGTTACCGGGTACTTCACCACCACGGCGTCGAAAAAAAGCCGGACGTCAGCAAGCGTTAGCTCCTCGCTCTGCAACTTTACGCATACGCTGTCAAGGTCACCCAGCTTGCTCAGAAGCTGAACAATACGGCGGTGAGAGCTTGGACGTGGCACTAAATCTTCAACAGCTTGCACCATCTTGATAGCGTCTCGAATCTCGACATAGCGCTTGAGCATCTCGTAAGTAGATGACCAACGGGTCACGGTGGCCTTCAGCGGCTTGAGGCCCGTGAACGCTGCCAGCGCTGCGCTGTTGTTTGGGTGTCGCAGCTGGATGCACAGAACTTGAACTTCAGCGATGAGGTCCGCATATTCGGTTAGATACTCGCAAACCGCCAGATTGAAGCGGTGGCTTGCACAGCCGATCAGGGGAACCTTGAGCCGAGTAGCGATAGCCTTGTTCGTGGGGCAGTTATCGCCGACGACGAAGCGCAGCATCTTCGGTTCTTTTCGTAGACACCGAGAACGTTGTCGATCATTTCGATGTGAGCATCGGCCGACTGCCCATCCTCAGCCATCGAAATTGACAGCAGCGGCTGTCTCCGCACGCCGTCGCGAACACTAACGCCGAAGATGCCAACAAAGTGGACTGTTCCGCAGGTCCATCCGTCGAACAACAAACCGAAGCTGTCCCCGAGAAGCTCAGCGACGGTAGCACCCACTTGCGAGGTCACGTGACGCATGTGGCGAAGAAGCGTCTGGGATGACACGGGCTTAATACCAGCTAGTCCCCGCGTCAGCGTGTCGTCCACCTCCGATAACGGAAGGTTTCGCATGATCACCCACTCCATCCACTTGAATATCTCCATCGTCCTGGTGTCAACGAAGCCGTGGTCCTGAAGCGTCTGGCCCTGTTGACTAGCCTCGAAGACGGCGAGGTGGTCTCGGTGCTTCGTCGCTAGATGACTGAGCAGGTTTTAGTAGCCGGACCCAGGAGCTTGTTTGCGACTCGTATTGCACTGCTTGCACGTGAAGACGCCGTCGCCGCAATCCGTAAAGTAGAAGTTGCACACGCTGCGAGAAGTCGACATGGGCCCGAGAGGTTGGAATGAAGAATGAGAGTAAGTATTTCCGCTAGCAGACGACTAACTAGAACCTACCAGAACCACCAACGTCGAGGCACCTCCCCACCAGTCCACTGGTAAGAAATCAATACAGTAATTACGGGGACAATTTTATATTTTACGGGCTTTTACGAAAGCCAATATTAAATTATTAAATAAATACAATGCTATAATAATTGTATTATATTTATTTTTTCAGAGCACTGACCTCCCCGTATCTTTTGGCAAGAGTAACAACGTAGTCCATTCACATTGCTGTTGCGATGTCACCACCGTTTTCATGGCACCATCGTCTGCATCAATTAGCTCCGTGTCTCCCGCCTCATTGTTGCATCTGAAGTACCATGCGCATATGCGACTTCGTCATGGTTGCGACGAATAAAGTTCAATATGGCGAATCGCCGTGTTCCCCCCCCCCCCCCAAGCAAGAGAGTTTAAGACAATACCTCTATTCATGTATACGGAGCTGGGTACAATCCTCTCTCAAGCTGCCGCAACGGGATATATAATGAAGACGTTTCAGGGCGGTCACGATCGGCTCCTTCTTCGCTCACTGAGTTTAGTGACTCTGACGATGCTAATGAGAGTGAAGACATACCTTCGGCCGTGGTGGAAGCTCAGTTTGATCATTCAGATCGACGGAGTCAACGACCCAATTGTTTCGATCATGAATCAACAATACGAGAAGCGGACAAAGACTCATCAGTCATGGAAAAGCGTAGTGTTGTCCGCCGACCAAGCTGATATAGCATGACAAGAAGAGGAACGATAGCCAAACGACAAAAGACGACTAGTGAGAAAATAAGTGAATCGATGCGAGTAATGGCTGAAGGGCAGGAATTGATTGCAGTCTCTCTTCTTTCGCGTCACAGTAGGGGTCGACCGCTTTCCCGTTCTGGCGAGGCGATTAAGATTTTCACGGACAAGGTCCCGGTGGACCAGCGATTCATGTTCACCAGACTGCTCATGACTGATCCTAGCGCTGCCATCATGTTTTACGAACTGGATGATGCAAGTAGGGAATATATTGCGACACAGTTTTATTGGGAAACAACGTGGACTCTGAGGATAACTGAGCTCTACACACGTGCATTTCCTATTTTGTTGTGGTGTTCCGCGTTCGTTTCCACCTGAAAAACAATTGAACTGTTCACTTTTGGGTGAATTACGGAACACGCCCACGACTATGCCTAAATGTCGCCCGTTGTCTGATGGAAACGGGCTATCGTTAACTGCTCCAAAAAAAAAAAAGAGAAAAATCGGAGGCAGTGAATAACATTCGCCAAACACACACGAGAGTTTAACACTTGGAAATCGTGAAGTGATGTTGCGGGGGGGGGGGGAATTTAGAAAGTAAATCGTCTGCTAACGAGACCGATATGCAAAGTTGAAAGTACCGTTAGAAGAAGGACTGAGTCGTGTCTGGGGTTACAAACACCAACATTGAGTTTCCGGAAAAATTCCCGATCATCTTGTCTATTAACAAGTAAAACGGCCTAGATCTCATTTGATAAGGCGAATGTGAGCACTCACTCCTATTCAGCTTCAACTTTGACAAACACTCATGCCTTTCACATTGCCAAGATCGCGGCCTTTCGTAGACGACTGGTCGTGCGCACCCAAAAGATTTGAACAACTTGGAGATTGTATGTTGCTGTCGAAGATATCTCTTTTCGCGACTTCTCCCAGCTTATCAAACGGCGGGATCCTGCGAATGTTGACAAGTAATAGTATCAGTGCCGAAATGGACGGTTGATAAGCCCTTGAGAAAGATTCCTCTCGACTTGTGGCGCTCAAGAGCTCTCATGCCACTCATCTCATTCTTGAAAAGGCTTTATCCATCCCACATCAAGTTTATCCGCCCCTTAACAAGTGTTTTATAGCGTCCAAGTCAAGTATCAACTGTCCCGTGTCAAGTGTCCACTCCAATGCTCCTCAATCCTACCCGCCTCGCCTCGATGGCGTTGGCTCTGGTAGTGGCGTTGTCGCCAGGAGCTGTGGCTGAAAAAGACACGTTCTGGATCTCTAATCTCTTCCAGCCGGCGTACTCATATTCGTACCAGCAGCCGGTTGACTGCCAAGTGAGTGACTGGGGATCCTTCAGCACCTGCTACTCTGTCTACTCGACCAAGACACGTCGTCGATATGTGACTGTATGGCCCAAGAACGGCGGCGCTGCTTGTCATCCTCTAGAAGACACGCAGCGCTGTGTGCCTCAAGACTGTCAGGTCGGACCTTGGTCCGACTACACAGCATGCGACCGCTCGTGCGGTAAGAAGACGCGCACGCGCACCGTTCTTCTGCCGGCCCAAGACGGTGGCGCTGCCTGTCCACCAACGACCGAGACTGCTCCATGCGATCCCATCAACTGCGTCGTCAGTGACTGGACGCCGTGGAGCATTTGTCTGTTCGGCAAGAAGAGTCATTCCCGTTTCATAACAACATGGCCGCAATACGGCGGTACAGCTTGTCCCTCTCTCTATGAAGTCGCGTCTTGCACTCCCGTCGACTGTGCCGTGAGTCCGTGGAGTCCCTGGAAGATTCTAGGGACCAAAAAGACTCGCATTCGTGAAGTCACTTGCCAAGCTGACGGCGGCAACCCGTGTCCGCCGTTAGTGGAAGAAGCCACGTGCAACCCCGTCGATTGTGTGGTGAGTCCCTGGTCCTGGAGTGGAGTCTGTGACCCCATCACCAAGCTGCGTCCACGCACCCGAACGGTCCTCACGGCGGCACAAGACGGTGGCGCTGCGTGTCCCTCTCTGCAAGAAACTGTGACGTGTGTGGACTGTGTGGTGAGTGCGTGGAGCGATTTCTCAACGTGCAACCCGTTAACCGGTACCAAGACTCGGTCGAGATCCGTGTCAACCGCAGCTCAAAATGGCGGTGCGGATTGCCCCGCTCTAACGGAGACAGCTCCTTGTGATCCAGTGTCGTGTGTCGTGGGGAACTGGACCGACTGGAGCGTTTGTGACGCCAAGACGCTGCAACGGAAGCGTACGCGTGATGTGTTGACTACCCCTCGCTATGGCGGCACGATGTGTCCTGCTCTGGTTGAAACTCAGTCGTGTACACCTCAGGACTGCACAGTCAGTGACTGGAGTCTGTTTGAATATTTTGTTAAGCCTACCGATGGACTCCGATACAAACGTCGGTCGCGATCAGTTATCCGTCCGTGCGACGGCGGCGCGCCCTGTCCGCCCTTACAAGACGAACAGATCTGTCAACCTGTGGACTGTCAAGTGAGTAAGTGGGTGTGGGACGACAACGGAGCTGGATCATGTCCTCCTGGAACGCAACGCAGACGAACTCGAAACGTTGTGACACCTGCAAAGGACGGCGGTGCGGCCTGTCCGCCTCTGGTGGAGCTTGTGGCGTGTGGAGATTGCCAGGTCAGTGCGTGGGGTCCATTCGGAGCTTGTGACTCCGCCACGATGACGCGTAAGAGGACGCGAAGTGTCTCGCAGCAGCCTATCGGTGACGGCGCCGCGTGTCCTGTACTCGAGGACTTTGCTCCGTGCGAGCCGGTGGCCTGCCAGGTGAGCGACTGGACGTCTTGGGGGCCTTGCTCAGCTTCTAAGATCCGTCAACGCACCCGAACGGTGCAAGTTGCTGCCAAATACGGCGGTACCGAGTGCCCTCCGCTTGTGGATCAGCAGAACTGCAACCCGACCGACTGCCAAGTGAGTCCGTGGGGGCCGTACGAGCTCCGTGGCGACACGAAATGCCGTCGACGTACTGTTTTACGTGAAGCCGACGGTGGCAAAGCGTGTCCGCCACTGGAAGAGACTGTACCGGTCAAGAAAGTGGACTGTGTGGTGGGCCTGTGGGGCCCGTACTCGGCCTGTGACCCCACCACGAAGCAGCGTTCGCGCTCTCGTATTGTGGTGACGAACCCGCAAGATGGTGGAGCTGCATGCCCAGCGTTGATTGAGGCCGTCGCCTGCGCTCCTGTGTCTTGCCAAGTCAGCAACTGGGGGACCTGGAGCGATTGCTCGCTGGTTACTGGAAAGCGTACGCGACGTCGTACCGTGACAACCCCGTGCGCCTTTGGAGGCGCTGACTGCCCCGACCTCATTCAAGAAGAAGCGTGCCAACCGGAGGACTGCAAGGTGGGCAACTGGACATCCTGGACAGGATGCAACAAACTCACCAAGACGCGATCTCGTCGCCGCTCTATCCTTGCCCAAGCTCGCTTCGGCGGTGCCGCGTGTCCAAGTCTTGAGGAGGTGAAAGTTTGTGAGCCATCGGACTGCGTCGTCAGCTCCTGGTCACTGTTCACTTCGTGTGGCGTTAATGGAAAGGAACGTCGATTCCGTACGGTGCTCCAACAGCCTGACGGTGGAGCTGCGTGCCCTCCGTTGATGGAAGAGCGATCCGTACCGAAGGTGGACTGCGTTGTGAGCGACTGGACCGACTGGAGCATCTGCGACCCTGATCTTCTTGTACGGATGCACAACCGCTCAGTCCTCACACCGGCACAGAACGGCGGAAAGTCGTGCCCAGCTCTACAGGGTTCACAAGCGTGCTGTCCGAAGCGTGTGGACTGCAAAGTTAGTGAGTGGTCAGACTACTCGATCTGCGACCCTGCTTCCAACACCCAACGACGCACTCGCAATGTGACACAGGCTGCCGGTCCTAACGGACGAGCGTGTCCGGAACTGCAACAGTCTCGAAGCTGCAAGCCGAGCATTGACTGTAAAGTTGGCGAGTGGGGCGCCTGGGGAAGTTGCAACAGTGCAAATTATCTGCGTACCCGTACGCGTCAAGTGACCACCGCGCAGTCTGGTAAGGGTGCAAAGTGCCCGTCGTTGAAGGATACACAAAGCTGCACCCCCGTTGACTGCCAAGTGAGTGACTGGAGTGACTGGGGCGCGTGTGACCCGAACACGAATACCAAGAATCGGACGCGCACAGTGTTGAAAGAACGCGACGGAGGAAAGAAATGTCCGAGTCTCATTGAAACCAAACCGTGTAAGGTGAACGTTGACTGCCAAGTTTCACCTTGGGGTGACTACGCCGCTTGTGACGAGTCCACGTGGACACGAAGCAGATCTCGTACCATTGCCGTTCAGCCCAAGGGCAGTGGGAAAGCATGTCCACCGCTTACAACAGCGGATGCGTGTCCCCCACGCGATTGTAAAGTTAATGGGTGGTTACAGTTCGGAGACTGTGATGCCAATGGATATCGCAAACGCAACCGTACGATCGCCATTTCACCACGAGGTGGAGGCAAGGCGTGCCCGGTGCTTCAGGAGACGAAAAAGTGCGACGCAGTGAACTGTGGTGTGTCTGCTTGGGGACCGTGGGGCGACTGCGACCCGGTGACCGCCCTCCAGACGAGATCTCGCACTGTTCGTGTTGAACCTGCTTACGGCGGCACACCTTGCCCGCCCCTTAACCAGACGCGAAGCTGTCAGAAGTGCGAGGTAACCGAATGGAGTGACTGGACCATCTGTACAGCCGATACGCCAACCAGGTCCCGTACGCGTGATGTTGTTAAACAACCACCTCCTCCATCGACCTGTGGCAACTCAGACGACGATGCCCTTATAGCTACTTTACAGTGTCCTGTCCTGAAGGAAGAACAACCGTGTGAGGCCATCAACTGCACCGTCAGCGACTGGACCGACTGGAGTGGCTGTGACCCGGAGACGTACGTGCGGACGCGCAACCGGACCATCCTGCAGCCACCTGTGCGTGGAGGCACTGAGTGTCCCGAACTCACGGATTCATTGACATGTCCACCGGTGGACTGCACCGTTGGAAACTGGTCAGACTGGTCGGGTTGTGGTGTGACGGATCTCACCTCGACCCGGTCACGGGAAATCCTGGTGCCGGCGGCGTTCGGCGGCGCCGAATGTCCGTGGCAAACGGAATCGGTAGACTGTCCGTCGATTGACTGTGTTCTTAGTGACTGGAGCGACTGGAGCGAGTGCACGGATTACACGCCGACGCAAACCCGAGAGCGGTCGATCCAGCAGGATGCCGTTCGTGGTGGCGCTGCGTGCGACGTGTTGACCCAGACCCGTGCGTGTCCTCCTGTGAACTGTGAACTGGGAGCTTGGGGTTCGTGGCAGACTTGTGAACCAAAGACTGGTACGAAATCCCGCTCTCGTGTAGCAACGCGCGCTCCGCAGCGGAACGGCACAGCTTGTGACGCGCTGCAAGACATTGCGCCGTGTGACCCAGTTGATTGTACTGTGGATAAGGACTGGGGGGACTGGGGCTCGTGCGACCACACCTGTGGAAAGCGCTACAAGCGTCGATCGGTGGTGCAGCCGGCTCTATACGGCGGTGCTACCTGCCCGCCTCTTGTGTCCGAAGGACCGTGTGAACCTGTTAACTGCGCCGTGTCATCATGGGGTGACTGGAGTGAGTGTGACGCCTCCACCGGTATGCGCACGCAGACTCGAAACGTGACACGAGAGCCGCTTTACGGTGGTTTGACGTGTTCAACGTTGGTCCAGCAGAAGAAATGCGATCCAGTGCCCTGTAGTGTGAGTGAATGGTCTGCATGGACGTCTTGTGATAGCGATGACCCTCAGCAGCACCGCAGTCGCAATATCACGCAACCGCCTTTGTACGACGGCACCCCATGCCCGGACCTTACCCAGGATGTGACGTGCGCTCCGATCAACTGCGAAGTGGGTCCATGGAGCGACTACGGCCTCTGCGACGCTAGCACGGGTCTACGCACACGCACCCGTTCAGCCACCCAGGTGTCTCGGCATGGTGGCACGTCGTGTCCTGCTTTGAGCGAAACAATTGCCTGCGATCCAGTTGACTGTACGGTCGGCGAGTGGGGTGAGTACGGCGAGTGTGACCCTGTGACGTTCAAGAAGACCAAGTCTCGCGCGATCTCGCAGAAGCCGCTGTACAATGGAGCGGCGTGTCCGGATCTGACCAACGACCTGCTGTGTGACCCGATTCACTGCGTCGTGACTCCGTGGGGACCTTGGGAGAGCTGCGACGCTGCGTCGCAAACCAAGACGCGTAGACGCACTATCAGTACACAGCCGAAGTATGGTGGATCCGCGTGCCCAGCACTGGAAGAATCTGCTGTCTGTGACCCGGTAAACTGCGTCATGAGCAACTGGTCGGACTGGAGCGTGTGCAAGAGCGACGGCAGCGACACGGGCTCTGTACGTACGCGCACGGTGGTACAGTCAGCACTCTACGGCGGCACGGCATGTGGGCCTACGCGTGAAGAAGTCCCCTGCGGTGCTGTGAACTGCGAAGTAAGTGAGTGGAGCCCCTGGTCGTCTTGTGACGCAAGCTGTGGCAAGAAGACTCGCAAGCGTACAGTCAAACAGCGAGCTTTGTACGGCGGAGCTGCATGTCCAGCACTCGAAGAAATCACTAACTGCGACCCTGTCAACTGTTCCGTGGGAGAATGGGACGCTAACTGGTCGGCGTGTGATCCGTCCTCGGGTCTCCGCAAGTTGACGCGTCCAGTTCTTCAACCGGCGCTGTACGGCGGAACAGCTTGTCCAATTACGGTTCAAGCCAAGGCGTGCGATCCAGTTGACTGCACGGTGAACGAGTGGGGTGAGTGGGGATCCTGTGACTCGACAACCGGCAAGAAATCGCGCGCCAGAACTGTCAAACAGGTCGATCTCTATGGTGGTTGCAAGTGCCCCGACCTCACTCAATCAGCACCCTGCGACCCTGTGCCGTGTGCTGTTGGACCCTTCAGCGACTGGACCAACTGCACCGATGCAGACGCCACCAAGACCCGAACGCGCCCGATTACACAGGACGCGCTGTACGGCGGCACGGCCTGTCCGGCCCTGACCGAAACAGCGGCGTGTCCACCGGTTGACTGTGTGCTTGATTCATGGGGACCCTGGAGCGACTACGATGCTAAAACTGGTGTCCGTACGCGGAGTCGGAAGGTCCTCCAGCCTGTCGTTCGTGGCGGCGTGGCTTGCGATAGCACCACAGAGTCCGAGACGGCGCCGCCGGTGAACTGCCACGTCGGTAACTGGAGTATATACGGGCCGTGCAACGACGCTGCGGGTGTCAAGACTCGATCGCGCGAGATCTCGGTAGCTCCGTTGTATGGCGGCCTCCCGTGTCCTGAACTTCTTCAGAACGCGACGTGTGACCCTGTGAACTGCATCGTGAGCGACTGGAGCGTGTGGGCTGCCTGTGACCCCAATACAGGAACAAAGTCTCGCCGTCGTGATATTCTGCAGAAGGACAAGTACGGAGGCGCGGCTTGTCCAGACACGACGGACTCTGCGCCGTGCGATCGCGTGGACTGCGTCATGAACGACTTTGGACCGTGGTCGACGTGTGACCCGACAACCGGCAGCAAGATGAGATCGCGCACGGTGAAGGTGACGCCAATGTACGGTGGGAGCGCTTGCCCAAGCACGACAGAGCAAGGATTCTGTGACCCGATTGACTGTAAATTGAGTGACTGGGGCAGTTTTGGCGCCTGTAACTCGACGACTGGATTGAAGACTCGCACGCGCACAGTGTCAACCAGTCCGCTGTACGGTGGAGCAACATGTGCATCTCTCACTGACACGGCACCGTGCGACCCGATCAACTGCCAAGTTGGTGCTTGGAGCTCCTGGTCTGCCTGTAACCCGAGTACTCTACAGTCAACACGCACACGGAAGATCACGGTGGAGCCGATGTACGGAGGCCTTGAGTGTCCCTGCTTATCGGAGTCAATGGCTTGCAAGGTCCCGAAGGTGGTGAACTGCACGGTGAGTGCGTGGTCGGACTGGACGAAGTGCGCGAGCAAGACAGGAACCCGTTCACGCACGCGCAAAGTGGTGACGGCGGCGGCGAACGGCGGTACGGCATGCCCGGCGCTGACCGAAACAGGGTCGTGCAGTGGATTGACATGCACGATGGGGCCGTGGTCAAGCTGGACGACTGGATGCGACAGCTACGGCTTGCAGACACGCACCCGAGCGCTACTGGACGACCCGTATATGTCAGGCGTCTCGACTTGTCCACCTGTGTTGGAGACTCGTGAATGTGTCTACAGCAGCTCGACGAATGACTACTCTCCGCCCACGAGTGCTTATCTATTCCTCGGTGTCGACGACGTTGCGCTGGAGGCTCAAGCATTTGGTGACGGTGGTGAGACTCAAGCTTTGTACGTGTAATTTGCATTCTTCGATTCTTCGAGTGTATAGCGTAGAATTCGAATAGCATTGATCAACTTTCTTTTAAACACTGAATACCGACGCGTAAAACTTTTCCGACTAGCTTTTACCCCCGCAAAAAAAGATGTCGAGTCAAATAAATATTAAATTGTACTTTCGAACTCTAACTTCGCTCAAGCTATAGCATAGGAGGAAACTACGGAAAGCTATGAAAGTCAAAGTAAGTGACTTCGAGTGTTGAGATGGTGCAAGTGATACAGTGGACCGTAAGGCTGGCTGCATTGACCGAATCCGACGTACTCCCTGACGAGGCGGATGTGTCGTCGGTACCGTCGATCAAGTAGAGTTTCGCGTGTGAGTTCCACGGAGACGCCCGAGTTGACATGCATTTTTGGAACCGGGTCCACTACGGTCTTCCATTCTTTCCAAGCTCACACGTCTTGCTTCGACCTCTGACCCTGACAGTACCATTAGATGCCAGAACAACCTAGAGCGCGTAGTTGGGACTATTGTGGCACTTTCCATCCGCACGAAACACGTCGGTAGACGTAAGTTTGTTGCAATTCATATCAGCGTAGTGCTCAAAGCACGTATGTCGTGTCCAAGTACGCGTCCTTGAGGTACGTTTGTTGGCCGCAGTCGCAGAAGTTGTACAGTGAGTTTGAACCATCAGGTCCGGATTCTTGAACGCACTCTGCGTTTACAGTGCAAGGAGCTGGAATAATAGTAGAGTGCATCGTTATCGTTCTCGCACTGCATGACGGACTTTCGTTGACCTCATGGGTCTTAACTCTGCTGCCAGTAGCGGCTCCAGGTCTGATCACTCGGAAGAGAAGCACGATAATGACGATGGTACTGTAGTGCTTAAAGAGGTTCATGATCTTGAAGGAGTACTTGTCTGGCAGATGGGTAATTGAATAGTGCGAACGATCCACGTGAAATCAGCATGAAATCAATTTGCTGCAGCAGCACCAACTATTATTGGAAACTCAGCCTGAAGTTAATTTGTACAGTTCAGACGAACATCCTTGAGATCTGGCCTCGTTACGTTTGCATCACCCTCTCTTTCTTATCTTAATTGAAAGTAGATGCCCCCGTGACGTTGTGCTCGGATGCATATCAACATAATTCGTTGTCATACCAAAAATTCAATAGAACATGTCTAGGCGCTGAAGATTAGAATTTGCAAGCGCTTCTTGCCTCCCATTGTTCCCAAGCAGATATCACGTGGCTTCGTAGGCTAACCAATTCCAATCATGGGCTCTTATTACGTGGGTACAAGATGTCAATCTGAGCGACCACCGCGAATCGTAGTGATGCCATTCCGGGCGGTAAAATGGGGATAGTATTGATCTGGAACAACGTGGTTTCATTTATCTTGTAGAGGTCCTGGAGTATCTTCTCACCTTCACCAATCACTCTGTCATCCCTGCAGTATTAGTTTGGTTTAGCTACCTACTACTCGAAGTAAGAAGTAGAGTGCTAACAGTATTACCACGTACCAGAACCCGACAGAAAAAATGACGCGCTCGATTCACCGAAACCTTCAATTTATATTTCCCAAGTGTATCAGCCGCGTCCAGGGCGTCCAGCTCCACAGTCGGCGACGTCCACAACAGACCTGCGTTACCGTTCCAGATCGCATTGTTGGTTCGTCCATTCCTGCAGCACATTGTGTCGGATCCATAAGTGATCTCCCACTTGCAGTAAACCTTCTTGTGCAGATTAACTCGCCCAAACTCGCGCAGCCCTCGAACATTACGGATAGAAAGCGAGATTTTGGCACAGGGCGTTAATTTGCCCTTTAATCTCTCCATCTCCGACTCATGCACCCACACGTAGCCACCATTTTGGGTGGCACGATGCAAGTTCGAAGCCTCAATGATTGCGGAATCCCTATCGTTGGAGTCATTCAACTTTAGCAATTCACGCAGCAAGTCCATTCGCGCATCGACATACGATTCAATTACGATTGATGACTTGGTTTCGCCTCGACACACCTGGACTTTGTCAAGTATGGCCTTCACAGTGCTTCTTTTGTTAACCATTTCACCTGCGCCTGTCGATATATTAGTTCCAATAACAAAAAAATAATAGATAACAGGATGTACTTTTCAACGCCTCATCCGCTGCAGCACCGATGACGGCTTGAGAAATTGCTGCAGAGGCTAGCGAGAGGGTCAATAGGCCAACCTACGTACACGAAGAAAACATAAGTAGCTCTTTTGAGACCCCGTCTTTTGGGCGACCGTACCTGGATAAAAGTTGCGTTATTCGCAATAAACTGATCGTTATTCGCAATAAATTGATCGACGTGTTTTGCTTCAAAATCTGAATGGATGGGTGAAAACACCTTCCCGAGAAATCGCTATGGAATTTCAATTCAAGTGTCGACGAGTCTTCGGGACTCGTTAGCGTCCAGACAGCAGGAAATGGACGCTTTTCGACGTCCCATAAAAGCTTTATCAGAAAGTTTAGCTCTCGTTCTGTTTGTAGATCGTTAAGCATTCCTGCGGTCTTTCAATCCTCTCGAATGAACCACTGGAAATCAGGTAGCCACGTGCTGTTTTGACGTAACTGTTGCTCTCGTCGCGGATTTCCACGCAGATAATTGACACTGTGATCTTTCTGGAGATTGTCGACGATAAAAAGGTTGACAGATCTGGAGCTACCGTCAGTAGACTCCAATCCCGGATAATATTTCAGAACTAGTTCCATGGATACAATAAAGTACTGTATCTCGTCCCAAGCCACTTCTTTTGTTTCTGCCACCACTTCGATGTTAATATCATCCTGTTTGCCTGTACCACCGGCGACGAAGTAGATCTGAGCCGCATACTCGCCGTAAACGTAGCACTCAAACGAATTGTTGTTGATCTGCCTAATGATGTCGGGGCGATAGGATTGCACCACGAAATTTACAAAAGTCGCCTCAGAAACGTCAAGAGGCAGCGAACTTCCAAGTAGGGGCTTCCTTTCCAGCGACAAAGTTCTGCATCAACTCCGAGTCTTGCTCACGAGCAACATACCAACAGCTTTCTATCTGGGCTTCCAATATGTCGGCACGATCAGGTCGCTATCATCGCCCATCTGATAGTTTTCCGGTTGCAACAAGTTGAATGCTTGAGTAATTGCTTGAACCTGAGCACCATGTCACTGCCCATTTCTCGTAGAGTATTCCAGAACGGCAAGGTACTTAGCAGATCGTCTTGGAGGGTACCACTTTCGCGAAGGATCTCGTAACTCTTTTACCGGTTTCCCTTCATCTTCATGGTTGACAATATTGATCGATCTAGAATGATACAATCTTGAAATTCGTCGTCCTCGTACCACATAATTTTCCGAGTTGACGTAGAATCGGTGTAGCGTGGGGCTCAGGTTGAAAGCCTTGCCCTGATTGCACTTTGGGGTGAATGCAAGTTGTATTCACTACCAGCTGGCTGTCCTTGCAGTTGTAGATGTAATTACTAGACTTGATGTTCCATGGCAGTGCCCAGGAGGTTTGCCTTGCTCGCTGTGGCGAGAAGAGGAATCGGACAGAGTAGTCTAGTCTCTTTACCTTTTTCTTTCCACTGAGCAAGCAATACAATCGGCTAAACGTTTGGAAGTGCCAGCTTCCCTAACTGTGTCTACTGTTTTCGTCTGGTGGACGTAATACAAGGTCAACAATCTTCAACTCTTTTCAGCTTGGGTAATCTTCGCTTTAACGTAATCACCACGTGAGTAACAGGACGATCACTGCATCCAGTCGCTCCTTGAATGTGGCACTTGTCTTCGCTATTCGGCGGGTTTTGACAGTTTCCTCCAGAACGTGCAGGTATGTTGTCGGCATATCGAAAGTTAGGAGTGGTTAGCGCAGGTCTTTTCTCGAATGGATGCACGCGCTCGGTTGAGAGAGCCTTCCATTCCAGAGCCTGTACGCAGCAATTCCATGCCAAATTCTCTTTCAAAACGCTTCCTCTCGGACTCAACATCGGGATGAATGACGAATTCTGTTAAACGGGTGCTTGAGTCTGTCTCGATAGTCTCGAATTGCAGTGCAGAGATAAGATCGCCTGTTGCCCCGCTCAATTTGAAATAGGCATCTGGCTGCCGAATAAGGATCCACTTGAGCACCGTCTCTTCGAAAGAAAACGCTGCTTGAACTTGTCACCTTCGCACCCTGAGATAGTTTTCGTTTCTTCCAGTTTCATCTGCTGATTGATGCAAACCAGGTACACGGTTCGCTTCGAAAAAAAACATGGCGTATGTAGTCTGGTAGACATCTTGTCCAGCGAAGTCCAAAAACGTGACATCATACCGCGAGCTATCACGACCAACCTCTTCAGCAGTGTCAGCCTCTTCAGGCGGGAAAGATAAAGAAAACAAGTCAATGCCGATGGTTTGGTTCTCTTCATCCACTAACGATGGTGCTGCCTCGGACAGCGACTTGACAGGGGTTGTTTTCCCTTAAGTACTAGGTCCATTGACGCAAATCTTACAACGCCTAGTAAGTTGATCATCTGCGGTTTCAGTTAGAGCATTCACGTAAAAGGCGACGGCGGCTTCTCCTCCTTAATCACTTCCGACGGGATCAACATTAATAGGAGGTAGCACTTGTGCCGGTATTCTAGTACTGCCAGCAGTTCCCCGGCGTGATTTCGCAGACAAGCACCCGATGTCTTAGGCTTGGAACCTTGCGAGCACAGTAAATGGGCGATGGTGATAATCTCGTCGATCAGATCATGTTGCTGGGCCGCAGTCATATAGGTCAGAGGGTTGTTGCCATCCTCCAGACAAAAGGCGCAGCTTAGCTCTTAGATTGTAAACGGGAACTATTTCTTTTGAAGTTACCTTGTCGCAAGCGTCAGTTCTGACCCCACGGTTCAGTAGCAGAGTAATCATCCGGGACGTGCCGAAGCAAACTGCAAAATGGGGGTGCTGCCAGCCTGTAGAAACAGAATCCAAGTAGTGTTAGCAAATTCGCTTTAATAGATAAAAAAAACGAATCTTGTCCGCAGCCTTCACCAGCTTGAGGTTGCCATTTTAGCCACGACGTGCAGAGCGGAACTGCCATCCTGTGTACCCACATACATTTGTCTTAGACACAGTTTTTGCAGTTAACTTGCACTGATCTCACCTCGTCAGTAGCCGTTGTATTCACTCCTTTTGATAGCAGCAGTTTAACCATCTCCACATTCCCAAATTTAGCCGCGAGATGGAGCATAGTGCAATTTAGAAACAGATATGAGTCAGAAATACAAAAATTCTACCTAGAAGTATAACATAACCTCGAACCTTGGCTTTAGCGGTCGCATCTGTTTCTATGAGCGCCATCTGAGGTTGCAAGAAATTGAACGTCTGATGCATTAGTTTACCAAACCAATGGAGCTTGTTGTTGTCTGACTGCAGACCAATAGATCACTCCCTTTCTAAACCAAGCCACATCTCCCTCAATATTTTAATACTATATGTAATTACACGCACCTCAGCCCGCTTTTTGCCATAAAACCGCAGCGAACGCCGTGCAGCGTTATCTACTGCTAAGATGAGGCAATCAGTCTTCATCAATACAATTGGCAAAATAAGTGTCTGTAGCAAGATAATAGTATGCACAGTAACGTTACATCTGTCGAATCACGCAACTCGTCGTTTAAATCACTCTTCCGGCCAATGATTTCCTTAACTTCGTCTGAATCCTCCTTATCATAGGCTTCCCATGTCGCCTTCAGCTCGTCTCTTTTTAGTTTAGTAAAAAAAAATGTTGTTCGTGAACTGTAGGATAAGGAATACCGAAATCGACGATTCTACTGCAAGACGGCTCAGCACATTCTGCAATCCTCTTGCGACGACCCGCTTGGATTAAAAGCTCTCGTTAATGCGGCAGTGGATTTGAATTAGAAAGGGAATCGATCACGCACGGAATCCAGCGAAATCCCTTGCTGGTTCAGCCATTGTCGACGTCGTGTTACCGCTCGCTCTATGAAGACGAAAGAACATGTTAGTGGCAATAAACCTGCCCCAGCTTTTCGTTCCCTACCTCCTCGCCCTCCTCCTTCACCGCGCTGTCTGCAAATTTCCGAATGCCGCCCTTGATGATCCTTCGGTTGGAGAAATTTTTCTGGGATGAATCACTCCATTGAATGGCGTCCATTCCCTCCACAATGGAATCCCACACCGCATTCCCCATGGCATGGATGCACCTTCTGAAGTTTGCGTACTACGCACTGATTCCATGGTAGAGGGGGCGAACCGAGCTGGGGAGCGCTGTCAATGCAATGCTGTAGTAGGGTGTTCTTTTCATAGCAATGTTAAATCAGTAGAAGCATGCTCAGCGTGGTGATGGGATCAACTCGACCTAAATCTAGGGTATCAGAAACTCTAATACCATAACCATTGGCCAATTTAAAACTTTTAAATCGTTAAAAGCAACGTGTGTGCTTTTAAATTAAAAGCATACACGTTGCTTTTTTACTACTAGTACTTGTAAAAAGCTTCTTAAAGGTCGGCACGGTAAGCAAAAAATGTTTTTAGTGTTGCAAATTTTGGTGTCGCTGAATTAGTACCAAAGTCGTCAACCAAGGTCGCTTGCTTACTTGACTTGCACCGAGTAGGTCGACACCACAAATTTGGCGTTCTTGCCCTGGAAAGGCTCGGTACCAGCCTCGACCTTCTGCAGATACTGCGTCTGGGGGAGAGTGTTGTCAGCCGGAAGTTCGTCGAAGAACTGCTTCAGATCGGCCGTGAAGCTTTTAGCGGTCTTCTTGGCGACGTACGAGAACACCTTGACCTTCTTGTTCATGCCCTGGTACAGGTCAAAGTCGACACCGCCCAGAGTGACCGATTTAATGGGTTTGCCACTGTCAGTCAATGGCCAAGCACCACCGAGAGCAGCGAGCCACACCATCAATTCGTACTCAATTTCTCCGGACTCGGATGAACTGGTGAACAGATCGTAGGCAACATTAGCGATAATGTTGCCATCGTAAGTGTACTCGTACTTCATGGTCGTGGGCATCGAGGTGATGGCAGACACCTGCTTAGGTTGGAACTTAAGCGCAGCGTTGGCAAACGACTTAACCTGCCATGAATCTCCGGCCCAGTTGAAACTGGTTTGCCACGACACGGAAGTGCTGGTGCTGCCGGTCACCTCAGTGCATTGTTTGCCAGTCTTGTCGTTGTCCTGACCCCAGAGGTTGTTGTACACAGTGTAGTCGCCAACAACCTTGAGGTCGTTGCGGCCGCAGTACTCTTGGGCGTTAGCAGACGAAGCCACAGCAGCCACGGCGAGGGTAGCAGGGATCAGGAACTTCATGGTGCTTGGTCGGTGTTTTTCGGTGTTGGTGGCGCAAGGCGAAATGGAGAGTGTGTCGACAGGGAGACAGGTACTTACGACTCAGGAATTCTTTGAGCGGAGTTTGATACTCAGACCTTACCCCATCCCGAAATGTTTCATCCGCACCTTTAGTGTTCATCTGCTGGCAGCAATGCCCATACGATTAAACCTACGATAATACTACTAGTAAACAACTGTGACGAGAATGAGGCTACCGTTGATTTAGGTATAACCGCAGTCCGGCTACTGCGTCCAAAGCAAAAGTTCTGTCTTAAGACTCTTAAAAGGCAGCAGGTGTCAACCTATCCAAGAACTTCCAAGCATGAGGCTCGACATCAAACATGAATACCACAAGCACGCCGAAGAAAACAATAAGAGAGACAAACCAACTCGATCAGACAATGTGAAGCTATGAAACGCGGACTATCCACGATCTGTATTTTTCAAAGTAGGTTCGGAGCGGTGCTTTGATGATACGCTCTACTCCAACACCCGTTTGATATGAAACAATCACGTCCTAAAATGCATGCAAAACCGTGCTAGCTAGACGTATTTCCCAATACGGAGACAGCATTCAATTGTCTCCAATCTCTACTAGCACTTACCCGAAGATGGAGTGGTTGGGCGTCTCGACGTACACCCAGATACACAGGATAATGAGCACGAAGGCAAGTGAGAAGCTGCCCACGATGTTGCCCTGGTCCGTCAAACTCTTGTGACTCCAGCCGAAGTACGTCTGCAGACTCATACGCACCATGGGGCCCAGCTGACTCGCCAGGAAACCACCCAGGAACAACGAGGCGAAGTACAGCGGAGTACCGTGAGTCGTAGCCGCGTTGTTGTAGCCTGCGAAGTAGCGTACCGTATCCCACATCATACCGAACACCATCGCCAAGAACACCAGTAGATTCGGTAGTTCCATGATGCTGTTGCCGCCTAGAGCGCCCGTGTTGGCCCACGCAGCCTCCTTGCCGGAAATCTTCCAGTAGATAGTCTCGAACACAGCCATGACGTGCACGAAAGCGTACGAGAACCACGTCTGCTGACTACGCAGGACGTCATCGTTGTCGACGGTTCGGTTCGACAGAGCCGAGAGGATACTCTGCGCCACAATCTTGGGCACCAGAGCCATCAGCAGACGCAGACCAGACGTGTAGATGGGAGCCTGACCCGTGTACAGGAAGTAGCCCGTGATGTAAAAGAAGAAGATGGCGGGGAACGAACCGATCGGGTACACCGTGAGGTTCATGAAGAAGACCCATCGCATGAACTTGTTGATCTTGCGCTTCGGAGGCAGCTCCACTTGCGGCGGGACCCACTCGGGGTCCACCAGACTCTTCTTGTTACGTAGGAAGATCTGGAAGTTACCCTTGGCCCAACGTTTACGTTGAGCCAGAGCAGCAGCCACAGACTCGGGCACTGCACCTTCAGCGAGACGAATACGATCAGCCTCTTCACCTTCAAGATCCTTACGGAAGTAGTAGCCCTTCCATCCCTTGTCCACCATCATCTTGCCCGTATAGGCATCTTCAGTCAGTGAGCCGTACTGGATGCCACACACCGAGTCCAGAGCCTCACGACGGAAGATTGCGTTGGTACCAGCGAACGAAGCGCAGTCGTAGCCATCCATACCGGTCTGGGCCGAATCGAAGAATGTCGAGTTACGGTGACCACACGGATCACCAAGACGCAGTTGCAAGCAGTCCTCGAAGTACTGCGGGGTCTGCACGTAGCCCACCTGGTTCACCGACACGTGGTCCGAGTAATCGTCAGCCGAGACGCCCACAAACTGGTTGCTGTCACGCTGACTCACTGCGCGGTTGCACTTGCGACACAGCCCCTTCTTCTGGTTGATCTTACTGCCACAACTAGCGCACATCATCCGCTCCGACATGGTGTTCTGCGTTTGACGTCGGTGCACACTCGACTTGACGTGTCCCGACGCGTTGTAGCAGTCCTTGGAGCAGTACATGATCTGCGCCTCCGGGACACCAGCAGCTTGACACAGAGCACAGCAGATCTTACCGATGTCACCACAGCCAGGAGCACAGCAGCGCGTGATCTTAGAGTTCTGCGGAACGTCGAAGAAGAACGGCAGAGTGGCCTGGATGAACATCTCGTGCGGCTTCATGTCGTTGTCCAGAATGATAGCGTAGCGACCGCAAGCGCCTTCGTTGTACAGCACGTTGTTGATGTTACCGGCCTTCGAGTGGTGGACAGGAGGCTTGATACGACCCACAAACGTTAGTTTGGGCAGGCCGTGGTAGTGGTAGTCGTCACGCACGGAGCCCACAGCGCAGTCAGCGCGGTTCACGATGCGCGGATTGGCGTTCGTGGGCATCTTGACAGTCGTGTGCTCCTTGCGCCACTCGTCCACTTCCAGTTCGTACGACTCGCACACGCGGTCGTACATGAACTGCGCAACCTCGTGACGAACGTCACCGGCGTCTTCAATTACGCCAGTGTTAACACTGACCTTGGGGACAGCGGCACCAGCCTCCCACTTGGATTTGCAGTAGCCATCGTCACAGATCCAGACGTGGAACAAGTGCGGAGGGTAGTCCAGGTTCATGATCTTCTCCAGCGTAGCGATGGTGTCTTCAGCCGGCTCGGCGTAGTGACACAACAGGATATCCACGGTTGGCCACTACAATACACAAAAATCATCACTCCGTATCAGGAATGTATGTCACTTCACAAAAATCTGCAAAAATAGTCGTACCTTTTCAGGAGGGAAATGCGGTTCAAAGTCCCGTAGATAACGAGCGCCACGACGCACAGGCTTCCACATACCGAGGTAGTAGAGGAAACCGAGCGAGATGCTGATAAATTCTGCCAGGTAGAAGAGGAAGTACGACACCCAGTCGCCGATATGAGGCTCCTTGAAGCACTGCACAGTCTCGATACCGGCCGACCAATGGTACCATTGCGGAGGGTCCCACACGCCATTGAACGGCTTGTCGCCACACTGCAGCGTGTCTGCGTAAAGCAGTTGGATCTCCTCGCACGTGTCGGTCTTGTACTTAACGTCGCACGGCTCGATACCCAGAGGGAACCAGAGCACGATACCCGCCAACTCAATCAACGCCGTGATGACGAAGATGACGTACCAGAAGCGGTAGCTGAAGCGGCCCTTCATCTCGTACACGCGGACATTGGGCAAATCTCGCTTGACCACATTACCCGATCCAGCAGACATGACGGTGAACTCGAGGGCGTCGAACCACATAGTAAAGTCCTGATCCGTCTCGGGACACACGAGCCACGCGCGATGACGCGTGTGGATGACGATACCCCTCGCAGGCAGATCGAGACGTTCACTCTGCTCGAGCTTGAAGGCGTCACGTAGATCGATAGCACCCACGACGAGCTCGCCATTGCGCGAGTTAAAGTATTTGCGGCAGTCCACGTCGCTGTGGAAATAGTACATTTTGGCCCCTTCCAGGGCGAAGTAGCGCTTACGCCAGCTCTTGGCCACAGGGCCTTTGAACTTGCGACTTCCCTGCTTGTGCATCCATCCGTGCACCGTGATCTTGCCCAGTTCCTCGTGCTCCTTGGCCTTGGTCAGCTCGTTGATGGTGTTCTGCACGTCCATCGTGGCCTGGGACAGCAGCTTCTTGCCGGGAGCCGCTGCAGACGAGAGCTGTTCGTGGTACTGAGCACCTGATAGAGGCGTCTGGCTGTACTGAGCGTCTTCCGGCAGCGCTCCGAGTCCTGGAGGTTGCCGATTGGCCATGAAGTAGTGAGGAGGATTCCTCGAGACTTTCTTTGTGTCCTAAACTGGGCGGCTGAGAGAGCCTTGAAGCAAATCCAATCGGCTGGCGGTAGATATTCGAGCACAAGTGCTGAATGCCTGGGATCGAGGAAGACCGGCTGACCACCACGCACGAGAGGAATGGAACTGATAGCGACGCTCAAGCGCGAACCTCTCTCGCCGCCACTGTGCTGTCTCCTACAGCTGCAGCAATGTATGGCGCATTGTATGGCTCGCGGACTTGGCTACGGAGCGCCGCGATCCGACGACACGAGGTGCACGCATGTGCGGTAGAGAAGGGCCAGTTATTTTTCTCCCGCCTCACAACAACACACACTGGTGTATTATATTGAAACGGTTTATTTAGTCTCAAAGGGATGGGTGAGTTTTTGGAAAAAGGGTTTTCCATATAATAAATCAGTGTGAAACTGCCCAGATATCAATTAGAAAATAGAGGTGATTCGATGCTCATAGAGACGACCCGTGGGACAAGGGCAAGGTGAACGTGACGTGTGCGAAGTAAAGCCTGGGCGGAATATGTGGACGACACCAATAACCTTATAGCGAGCATAAAATATGCCCTTCATGAGGCTGATCTGCAAGCTGCCACATGACGGCGATGCTGCCAGGGCTCCATGTGCCGACCGCATGCTCGCTTCTCGTGGCCCCGCAGCCATCTTCCTCGCTGTCGCAGCAAGCGCCAGTGCAGTAGAAACCTTTTGTCGCACGACATGATAGAGCGCATTAGGGCGGTCTGCCGTGATCGTTGGTTGGCCTTCATAGGAGCTCTTAGCTCTTGGATCGATGTAAGCAGCGACGCTGGAACTACATATACCCACCCACCTTGAGCCAGAACTGGGTTCGATTAGCGAGAACGCCCATCGCTCGTCATCATTGTAGTTGTGCGCTTTCCAGTGAAGCACGTAGAGCTGGAGGTGGTGTTGCGCCGATCTAGCGCTTGACGCCAACACAGATTTCATTCCAGCCTGTACCGAACCCAAGCATCGTTCAAACGCACGGCAGCTAGCGAATGGCTTGGGAAGAGCTCCTCTCGCTATAAACCGGTGTCGGGAACCGGTGAAAAACATCGAAGGCCCCTTCGCACCGGATCTTCTTCAACGTGGTCCGCATGCGACGAGGAGATCCAACCGCATCACTCGGCAAGATACTCAACAAGCAACACGTCAATGGAGCTCAGCTTGATCGCACGCGGGCTCTCTATCGATCTCGTAGCGCTCGTGGCTTCGTTTGCTTGGGATCTCGACTCGGCGTCGGCTGCTGGCCACCTAGAGATTGTTGAGCTTCTGCTGCATTCGCGTCGCTCCAGTCCTGTCCGCTGCAGCTTCCGAGCACTCAATGCCGCGGCACAGAACGGATTCCTATTCATAGTGCGAGCTCTGCATCGGAGCGGGATCGCCTCGTGCTCCACCTTCGCAATGAACATGGCGGCGGCCAACGGGCACCTGGATGTGGTCCAATTCCTGCATTTTCATCGATCTGAGGGCTGCACCAGCTACGCGATGGATGCGGCCGCTGCCAAGGGACATCTGGACGTGGTGAGGTTCCTGCATTTCCATCGCTCTGAAGGCTGCACCACTGCAGCGATGGATCTGGCTGCAGCTCAAGGGCATTTGCAGGTAGTGGACTTCCTGCACAGATATCGCTCGGAAGGGGCCACGGTTGCTGCTATCGATCGAGCCGCACAAAACGGACATCTGACGGTGGTAAAGTTCTTCAGAGAAGTTCGCCAACAAGGATTCACTCAGCTGGCCATTCTGTGGGCGAGCGCCAATGGACATTTAGATGTAGTGAAGTATCTGCAACCTTCGCGAAAGCGGAGAAGTGCTCTTGGGACACTGCTAGGAGACGGACGAGTGCTGGTCTGTTAGGTGCTTTATATATTAGTAGTGCCATTCTAAATCAGAATCAGTTTGGACTTGTTTGATCATGTTGCCTTGCTCCATTTTTCGTCTTCATCATTGTGCTCATTTAAAAGAAGGCGGCCTCTCTGTTTTGGAAGTGTAACAGCAACGTAAATACATCGATTCCACTTCTCATTTGGTATTCTAGGACTTTTTTGCCCAAGCGCACGGGCATGAAGCTTCCTTCCGCGAGCGCAATTATCAGGCTTTTCACACCGGGGATGTTTGTAACTCTCGGCTTTGCACGTGTCACCGAGCGGACGTTGTTTTTATCGACGTACAGTGATGATTTCTCGTGCTCCAACATCGTTTACGCAAGAATCGACAACGACGTTTGCACAGATACTTCCGTGTGCGCCATTCTCAACGACACGGATGGCTCCTTCCACGACTCTGAGATGACTGCCTGCATTCTTGACCGAGACGAATTCTTGAAATCAGCGTTCAAGGGTTCCCCGTACTTCACAGTGGAGCTGTACCCAACGGATTGTCTTGGTAAATCATACAACACGAGGTCTTTTGTCGCCGATGGAAATTGCCATCCGTATGCGCATAGTCACTTCAAGGTCATACAGGTGAATAACACTATATCCATAATGAGTGCTGAGGCTGGTTGCGATGCTACCGACTGGCACAAGGAATGGTCCGTAGATTCTACTACGCAATTAAACACGGAAGCCTGTGTGACGGATGGCACTACCGCCTGGAAAGCCTATTTCGTCAAAGGCACAACTGTCGCGGATGATTCAAGTTCAAACCCTTCAGCAACAGTAGTAGCCCCGGTGAGCATCACTCCTTCACCAACAGTAGCGACTACAGCCCCATCGGCGAATTCATCGACCACATATTCATCATTAGCAACACCGGCGTCTGCGTCTTCAGCTACAGCCTTGCTATTCGGAATGGCACTGTCGGCGGCGATAATGGTGTTTTAGCTATTACAGATGCGACGATGCCACGACTCGAGCAAATGTGGAGGAGAGGTAAAACTGGTGGCCGTGGTGTGCTAATTGCATGACCTCTCTTGTATTCGAAATATTTCTGTCTGTTTTTACTTTCTGCAAGACAATTACTTGCCACTTCGAAAAAAAAAAAATACTACCAATATCACGTACACGCCCTATTGCATGAATTTCGGTCTTTATTAATGTAGTAGCGGACGAAATGCTCAAAGTTCCCCAATATGTTCGTAAGTCAGGAACAATAATCTAGGTGTTTCTAATAATCAAAAGTTGTGCTGTGCAGACTTTTTGGTACTTAGGCTTGTAATTCGATCGACTTATCCAGTCCGAATTATCTATGATTTACAGTACGCCGTCTTACCGGCACCACGTAGTGCGATCAAGCATTTCATGCACGACTTAGCACATCGAATACGAATAAGCATCGGTTTGGCACTTTTGAAAAGTGTCATTTTCACGCCATTTGAGCAACAACAACCATTCAAAGGTTGCATTTTTACCGCTAAGTACGAACACTAGCAAGTGCACTAACTATTTTAATAATTAGTGCACTAACGGAGCAAACTGAACGCAGAGCACAATAATAAAGATGACTTATTCGAAGGCGGCTTTTACTCGGGCGAGTACGTTATTTTTCGAGCAATTACTGACCGAGTAATTTTTGTAAAAGCGAGTCTTTTTTCGACTGGGCTCAACTTCTGTAAAATCGAGCGTAAAACTCGATATCAGTTTCCGGCTAGACAAAAATATCTGCAAGCTGCACTACCACACTGATCTCAAGAATAATGACGACTCTGTGTGATGATTTATGTATTAATTCTTTAAAATTCTCGTCTTTCGTAATAAAATTTTGTCATTTCTAACCCTGATGATAAACAAAGAGCATGAAGTAAAGCACCGAGTCATCAGACGTCGAGCTGTAGTTAGCTGTCGCTTCCAAAAACACTCTTGAGGAGTCATCCACACTATCGACGATTTTCCTGCACTCTTTCATGCGAAATTTGAGTCATTTGAACCAGGCGTGATCTCGAGGTTTGCAAGAAAATGTGGAAGATCTAAATATCTATATATATAAGTTGCTTACGCCTCCCCTCCCTTCACTATGGGTACCGTCAACCACCTGTTTACAGAGCTGTCACGCTCCTTCGGTGTGTCAGCCAATCAAAGTGGTG